TGGGAATCAGTGGAGATATGGTGGAGACATAAGGCTTATAAAATGATGACTCATGTGGACAGTTTTTTGAGTGTATATTAAAACTATATAAATCATTATTTATGACACTACAAAAATCATGCCACTATTATATAAATTATAAAGTGGTGTTATTATGTTATTTTATGACTATATCTAACTATATAAACCAGAATATCTCATGTATCATAGTCATAATCACCATGAAAGCCATCTCCTCTGCTCAAAGAGATAATATCCTCTCTCTGTCTTATGCTGGCCTCTCTGCTCACCAAATTTCCTCTAGAACTGGAGTATGCAAGTCCACTGTGGCCAAGTTTATCAAAGAAAGCCACCCAGACAAGGAAAACTCTTGTGGAGGACATCCATCCAAGCTTACCTCTACTGGCAAAAGGGCTATTATCCAACATATCACTACAGGAAAGGCTGATAATGCTGTCCAAGCCACCCATTATATCAATTCCACCATCACTACCCCTGTCTCTTCACAAACTGTGAGGAATGTTCTCAAGGCAGCTCATCTCAAGGCAGTAACAAAGAAGAAAAAGCCTTTTCTCTCCATCAAACATAGGCAGAGAAGACTAGCCTTTGCCTTAGCTCATCAACACTGGACTGTAGAGGACTGGAAGCATGTTATATGGTCAGATGAGACCAAAATCAATAGGATTGGGTCAGATGGGAAGGTATATGTATGGGAAAAGAAGGGAGATGGCCTAACAGACAGAGAGGTTAATGGGACTGTCAAGTTTGGAGGAGGTTCTTTAATGGTATGGGGCTGTATGGGATGGAATGGTATGGGAATGCTTGCTGAGGTTGAGGGGAAGATGAATGCTGAGCAGTATGTGGACATTTTAAATAACCACTTGCTGCCTAGCTTGGCAGAATCAGGGATTGATGAAGAAGATATCATTTTCCAACAGGATAATGATCCCAAGCACACATCCAGAAGAGCTAAGGAATAGTTTGAAGAACATAACATCAATGTTCTTGACTGGCCAGCACAGTCTCCTGATGTCAATGTCATTGAACATCTCTGGGGAACACTCAAGAAAAAGCTTCAAGCCTATGAAAACCCCCCTAAAGGACTATGGGAGCTTTGGGAGAGAGTAGCAGTGGAATGGGGGAAGATCACAGCTGAGGATTGCCAGAAATTAATTGAGAGTATGCCTAGAAGGATAGAGGCAGTAATTAAAGCCAAGGGAGGTCATACAAAATACTAGAATACCTGGTTATTATTGTAAAATACTTGAGTCAAAAAACTGTCCGCATGAGTCACCATTTTGTGAGCCTTGTATCTCCACCATATCTCCACCGATTCCCACGGTGTAGGGCTCAAATGAAAGCCCTGAAGCCATACTACAATGTGGTATAACCATGTCCTTAAGGCATTTGTTCATTCTCACACAATATCATAGATAGTGAAAAATATCAAAACATGCGGACAGTTTTTTGAGCCACTGTATATTAATGGCCTTACATCAGCAAAAAACAAAATTTGTGGTAGTCCTGGTGACAGCTATGTAGCAGTAACTCAGACTATATAGAACTACAATAGGCTACAGCAAGCTACAGTGGGCTACAGTGGGCCACAGTAGATGGTTGGAGTCACAATAGTCAGTCAATAGTCTACATAGTGCTATGTAGCCCTGTAGTGACCATAGCAAGTATTAATTACTGTAGTAGTAATTCTAAGTAATCATGGCAGAAATACAACATATTCACTGTAGTGATATATAGGCAACCAGGTTACTCTATAGTTCTATGTAGCTGAAATCAGAGAAATGGAATAGTAGTGTTGTAGTGATAATTGAATGGACTTGTCAGACTTAGTGGAATTTTTGCATTTCATTGTGTGACATTGGTATAGTGGCTTAAAAAAGTGTCCCAATGTTTGTGGATTTTCATGTAATTGCTTGATTGTGAGTCAGTGTGTGGGAATATGATTAAGCTATAGGGAGATGTCAGAGAGCTCTAAGAAGATAAGCTTCTCATATCTTCATCCTATAGAGGGAGGAGACCAGCCTTTGCTCTCAAGCACCAGTATTGGACTTTGAGGACTGGAATAGGACTAACTGGTCAAACAGGACAAAATTCAATAGGATGGGGTCAGATAACTGGGAATATGTATTGAAAAATGCAGAAGAAACTACTAGGACAAAGAGAAGTCAAGGAAACACTCAAGTTTGGAGGAGAAAACTTTGTGATATGGGACTGTATGAGATGGAATAGAGTAGGAATTTTATGTGAGGTGGAGAGGAGAATAAATGCAGAGTAGTGCATCTCAGTTTTGGAGAAGTGTCTTCATAGAAGCATGCAGGAATCAGAAACTGATGAAGAAGACTCTATCTTCTAATAAGATAATAATCTTAAGCATACTGCCAGTTGGCTACCAAATGGTTTGAAAACTATAATATTGCTATTATATCATGGCCAGCACAATCCTCAGACCTCAACCCTATTGAACAGCCCTGGAAATTGCTCAGGAGATTACTTGGAGTGTGTCATGATCCTCCATAGGGGCTATTTCAGCTATTGGGAGGAGCTGCAGCACAGTAGGAGAAGATTGGTAATGAGTAATGACAGGAATTGATAGATAGTGTGTTTATAAGAGTGGGAGAAGTGATTAGAACATCAGGAAGAAAGACCAAGTACTGTAATTATAGAGATTGGATTGGTTAAATTTGAAGTCAAGAAAGTGTCCCAATGAGTCACTAGATTGAGATGTCCATATATTCACATGATAACATCAGATTTTCATGCTATAGTGGACAAGGATAACACAAAGAAACAGAGCTTTCTGACATCTCCCTATAGCTTAGTCATATTCCCACACCCTGACTCACAATCAAGCAATTACATGAAAATCCACAAACATTGGGACACTTTTTTGAGCCACTGTATATATTGCAATTATTATTGAAATATGAGCCCCTTCAGTGACAAACTCCATATTATATGGGTCACCTGACCTACATAATATCCTGTATAAGATGGGCCAGTGGACTATGGACTGATGTTATGTATATCCTCAATGTTGACAGGTGGGCCCATCTATGCTGATGTTATAAATATCCTTGATGATGGTGGATGGGCTGGGGGAAGTATTATTACTGATGGAGATGGGTGAGCCCATCTGGGCAATATGTAGAGTAGGATAGACATATATTATAGATAGCTGGGCTGAAGAGAGATGTATGGCAGATATTATTATATAGACAGGTGGGCTGATGGGGCAGTGAAATATTTATTATATATACAGGTGGGCCAACCTGGGGTATTTTACATAGATGGGTGGGCCAACATAGGGGGATGTCATATAGATGGGTGGGCCCAGATACATATCATTTAGATGTATGGGCCAAGGTATTGGTATACTATATGGACATATGAGCAATGCTGTTGCACTAGTTTTGATCCAAGTCATCAATGACATTCAGACTCAGATTCTGTCAACATTGATCAAAGTCAACACAGCTAAGTGCCCTGTTGACTCATAATCCAGCAATACCTCAGAAGATGGTCCATAGATGTAAGGGCCAAGGTATTTGTATACTATATGGACATATGGACATACATATAGGCTGAGGTAGTGATATATATTACATCAGCAAAACCCTGATTTGGGTACAGTGCCACAGCCACACAGCATGTCATAGGTCAAATAGATTTTGTTGTAAAGGCTCTGCAGCACCACACAAGTATTGATTCTATGTAAAAATGAGTGTAATGTAGTCACAAACATGTATATAACAAGATGGTGTGCTAATAATTGTATTTCATTGAGAAATTGTGTAGTGTGCAGCACTGTACAGCACTGTACATGGGGGGACCTCACTGTGACACTGTGATTGCTGTGCAGCATTGTGCAGTGCTGCACATAGGGTTAGGGTTTTGCTGATGTATATTGACAGGTGGGCCAAGGTAGTTGTTATCACATATAAACATAACTGGGCTTAGATAGTTGGATAAGAAACAAATCAGTTTGCTGATGTAGGCACCAGAGAATTGAAGACATGGAGTACATACCCCTATGTGAATGCATATACCTATCATCAACCATGGAAACCTGAAACCTGAAAGCCTGAATACACCATGTCTGACATTTACCAAGTACTGAAACCCAAAACTCAACACCCAAAACCCAAGCATTGAAACCCAAAACTTGAAACTCAAAAGGTGTAAAAATGTATGAGTTTTGAGTTTCAAGTTTTGAAGTTTTGGGTTTCAGTACTCAGGACTTGAAACTTGGTGATTTGATAAATGGACTGGCAGAGGTAACAATCATTGGAAAACTTATATATACATGGCTTTCTAAGCAGGCTGAGGCATGAGGCTGGCGTAGAATTGAGTCTACATGCAAAATTAGGCAAGGTGGTGCAGAACTCTTGTTCCTTCCCACATCAGCCTACAAATCTTCTTGTCCTAAGTACTAGGCGCTAGTCTCAGTTCTTTTGCATTCTTCAAAGTAAAGTCTACAAATGTTTAATGGAGATCCTAACATTGCTATATGACCAGATTTCACTCTAATTGAGCACCATGAAGCCTGACAGCAGCTAGTACATGAAGGACTCACAGATGAATAAGCAGTCTGTTTGTTAACAGTGCTATGGACTGTGAGGAACAATGTGGACAAAATGCATTGGGCCGAATGACGAGAGCATATAGATAATGTTCGAAGGCAGGAAGAGAAAGAAGAGGAACAACATCAGCAGACCCTCAAAGATGAAGAGGAGGCAGCATGCTGTGAGGAGTGCAAGAAGAACAAGACTAAATACATACCCCTCATCAGAGCCAAGGTTCCTTCTGACCCCACCATAATCCCTGCACAGTATGCAACAAGGAGGTTGAAAGCCAGAGAGTATTGCAAGCTCCACTACTTCACCAATAGAGGACTGAATGATGCCAAAATCTCGACACTAATCACTGAGCCAGATGTGCTAGTAATGATGCTATCTAATGACAGAGTCCACTCCTAGGTACTGGCAGCAGCAGTCAAAGATCCCAGAGCAGCCCTGGTAGTCAAGGATGAACAACTCACATGGGAGGAGTTCAACAAGGCAGCACCAAGAATGATCATGTCAATGAGAGTCCATGACTGGCCCAATGACAGGGTCCAGATGCACATCCAATTCTGGACTGTACTCCAAGAACATTGCTGGTGTCACACCCCAGACATGCTCAAGCAAAGAGCACTTCTGCTATACCAGTCACAGCAAAGGCACAGATGGCACCTCACAGTGGGAACAGTGCATGACTGGAGCCTGGAAGAGATCAATCAAGATCTACTTCTAGAAGCTAGGAAAGACTTATTTAATGAGCAGCATGACTAGGTGTTCACAGCCATCAAGGTCAGTGCTTTGTCCTCCTACTTTGCTTCAAGCTCTGCTCAACTCCCCTTCATTTTATCATTTTCATTTTGTTCATTTCACTTAGTGTAATCATTCACTGGGTACATTCCTTTTGTCAGCTATCACATGCTGGCAAAAAACCTTTTGCTGCAATCACGCACAACCCCCCCTGCATCAATCATGATGCACCCATCCTTCCATTTGGGACAAACATGTGTCTGTCCAGTCATGCCAATTGCATGCACCATGTCATATCAAATGATGCCTGGGCCATGCCATCATCACCTGGACCACCCCATTACCTGTTACTCACAATGGTTTACCCTCATGGAACATCACTAATTCATACTGGGTGCCACTATGAACCTCAACCAATAACAGGCTGCCACAGCTGCCACTCCCAACAACCAGGAATATCCCCATGTGCAACAGCAGCCAGGAACAGCCCCAAAGCACCTGTTTCCAGCAGCAGAAGCAGCAACCAGAAGCAACAAAAAGGTACACACTACTCAGGCACCTATCAATGCTAGGCCACTTCCATGCTGTGCAGTTTGCCTCGGGAGGAACCTGTACAGGACAATTGAGTGTGCACTCACTCACATGTGAGATGGGAACCATGAAGCGTTCTCAGAGCATATTATTAAAGTCTTGTGGACCAAAGATGGGAGACAGATATGCACCGCTTGGCAGCAGGACAAAGGATGCACAATGCCAAGCATGTGTGTTCAGGGTGCAGGGCTACCACTCATGGAGCCCAAAAATGTCCTTAAGCACAGAAAGCTGCACCCTCAGACGCTGTATAGAGCAGAAGCTTGGGACTATGAACTACAGCTCATAGGACTTATTAATTGTTTTAGTAAAATACCAGAAGGTTTCTGTTCAGGCTTCAGAATAGATTTCCCACCTATCTTCACTGTACAGATCCCCCCAAATAAAGATTCAGTTTACAAGTATCAGAATGAGTTCAATCTCATCATCCAGAAAGAACTTGAAACAGGGAGACATGTGGGACTATTCACAGCTAACTCCCTAGAACAGCTGATTGGTCCTTTCCAATCCTCCCCACTTTCAATCATCCTGAAGCCAGGGAGACCTGGAAAATTCAGAATCATCCAGAATTTCTCCTTCCTGCACTAAATCACAACCACTTTCCCAAGCCCATCCATCAACTTGTACATCAATGCCAACAACTTCCCGATAACTTGGGGAAAATTCTCAGTAATATATCAAATAGTTGCCACAGTCCCCCGAGGGTCAGAGGCAGTCACAAGAGACATTGCAGATGCCTACAGGACAGTACCCCTGCACCCATTGCAATGGCAAGGTAAGGTAGTACAAATTGCAGAAAACTCATTCTGCATGGACACATGTACAGCATTCAGGGCTACCCCTTCAGCAGGTTTTTACAGTCACATTGCAGATGCTGGGGCAGAGATCTTCAGATACCATGTGATTGGCCCCCTCAACAAGTGGGTAGACAACCATATCTTTTTCAAAATCCTTAGAGAGTACCTCAAGGAGTATAACCAAATGTGTGCCACATGGTCAGAAGCCTTTGCCAGAGAAGGAATACACCAGTCAGGAAGTCACTTATGGTATGAAGAGATATGTCCAAGCACTGGACAGCTTGAGGAACACAGCAAGAACTGTGCTAATCCACTGAAAGACTTATCAGAACACTCTCCCAGATCAGAACATGACAAATGTTTCAACTGCAGCCTCCAAGACATCAATAAGGTGTCAGAGGATATGGGCATCCTATGGAAGCTTATAAAAGATTAGCTGTTTCAATCATTGATGATCCATACAGGTTTTCTTTGGGACATTAAGCTTAGAACAGTCTCACTAAGTTCAGATAAGACTGACAAGTACCTCCTAATAATTTGTGAATGGAGGAAGAGAAAAGCACACATCCTACTTGATGTACAAAAGCTATATGGCAAGCTATTGCACACCTGCGCCACAGTACCTCAAGGATGGGCATATTTAATGGGACTTGAAAGCATGCTGGCATTGTGTGGGAGCAAGCCATTTCTCCCACACAGACCTAACAAAGGTATAGCCAAGGATTTGATATGGTGGTCAGCACTATTACAATCCGGTGGAGTGACAAGAAACATATACCCATCATCCCCACTCATGTTACAGTACCCCACTCTTTTTCCCATCATCACTGCAGATGCCTTATGGCTGTACTTCTAATGCTTCCTTTTTACTGTGCTGTTTCCTCATGGTCTCCTTTATCTCTGACTCACACTTTGTTTTCCCATGAACCTTCCTTTCTTAGTAGTCATTACCCTTTGCCCAGCTTGGTCTGTGCATGATTCTCTTATGTATATAAACCTTAGTTACTGCTTGTATTTTCTCTAACTTGAATCTACTTGGTTTTCTTTCATACTTGAACTCTAGCTCCTTGGGAAGGAGGCTAGCCACTGTCCCATTTGAACTCTAGATCCTGCAGGAGTCTAGATGATCGCTCCTGAGGGAGGCATTAACTTGATAAGGCTTAGTCCTTGATTGACCTTGATCCTTGATTCCTTTATTGGAACAACGCTCTATCCAAGTTCATAACAGCTCAGAGACCCTCATACATTTTTAGATGCTAGTTCAGGCATTGGGATTGGAATCATCATTGGAGAGTTCTGGAGGGCTTGGAGACTCATACCAGGTTGGAAGATGCAGAATGGGAAATGAGGCATTGAATGGGCCAAAGCAGTCAGATTCAAATTCCTTATATATACTCTTGCCATTCTCCCTGGCGCTAGCAGCAGCATCCTTGTCCATGGAGACAACATAGGAATTGTGGAAGGATGGTGGAAATGGCATCACTGCAACACAGCTGTCAACAGTGTGTTTTGAAGAATCAACCAGTTCTTATATGACTTGCCCAACCATCTCAAAATCACTACAGCCTATGTGGCCAGTGCATCTAACCCAGCTGATAAACTATCCAGAGGTATCTATGGACCAATCAGCTTACTTCTTCCCAGAATCCCCATTCCAGAGGAACTTAGCACATTTGTTATTGATGCCACTGAACCTCTCTCCCCTGCAGAAATCTGCCATCTGCACAATGAGAACTACTCCACTCCAGTAACTAAGTTCATCAATAGAGCCCTCATTAGACAGCAAGCTGCAGAAAGAGCACTTGCCTCAAGAATTGAAGAAGACTACTTCATCAATAGCACACTTAGGAACAAATGACACTGAACATTGCTCCTGTTTTGGATCAATGCTGCCAGCCCCAAGCACTGCAGTGCCTACACCCCATGCCTATCAACAGAACCTTACCCCTTGCCCATGCACCCTTTGCCCATACTGTCTAGCATGAGACTGATTAAGACTATGGGTCCCAGCAGGGAATAGCACCAGACTGACAGAGCTGTCAGCAGAATCACCCACTTGCCAAATTTCAGACCCACAACTCAATTGGATACTAGAAGTAATGGGGTCATCATGGGCACAATCAACCAAAGAGCTATATGGAGCAGGACTCCTTGTATTCCATGTGTACTGTGACTTGCAGAATATAATAGAAGAGAAGCAGTGCCTGATAGACCAGACACTGCTTCTTGAGTTCTTCTTGAGCTGTGCTGGATCATACTCAGGATTAGTGCTATTGAACTATGCAGTAGGGCTGAAAGCTTGGCACCTGCTACACAGCAGGGACTGGCAGATTTCCCACGCTGAACTCAAAGCCATACTTAATGGAGCAACAAACCTCACCCCCCAAGCCTCAAAGAAACCAAAGAGAGTTCCTTTCATACCTGTTTTTATTGCAGAGATACATTCACATTTGGACCTTAACTCACTGCTCAATGCTGCAGTTTTTACATGCCTCACCATGACATTCTACTTCATTGCCAGACTGGGAGAGTTCACCATCAGTGCTATCAAAGATTTCAGCCCAAGAAAGCACATTATGAGAGGAAGAGTATTGGAATCAGAAGACTGCAACAGCCTTCCAGTCATGAAGTTTCACTTACTGAGTACCAAGGTCTCTCCAATCAAAGGAGAAGATGCCTACTGGGCAGCACAAGATGGGCCATCAGATCCAAAGATGGCCCTGTAGAACCATTTCCACATCAACTCAGCAGACAATGAAGCACACCTTTTCATGTGGAAACATGTGAAAGGCATCCATCCCCTATTGAAGGAATTCACCAAAAGAATCACTAGCACAGCACAAGCAGCAGGCTTACCAGACCTCAAAGGTCATGGCTTGTAGATTGGTGGCACCTTAGAGTACTTGCTCAGAGAAGTCCCTTTCGATGTCATTAAGTCTATGGGAAGATGGTCAGGAGATGTGTTCATGTTGTACCTGAGAGACCATGCACTCATCCTAGTGCCATACATCCAATCAAAGCCCTACCTCAAACTATTCACATGCCACATGATGCTGGCAGTGTGCTAAACAGTAAGAGTGAGTACACCTCCTAAAACCCAGGCATCAAGCTTTGCTGTATGTGTAACTGCACTCCTAACATATGGGAACATAGCTCACCTTGACACACAGGTTCAGACCCTTATTTCAGGCCAGAAAAGCCCTATGGGCCTTTTGCCCAAATACCCAACAAGTCCCTGAACTCTGGTTCGATTCAAATGAACAAACTCTCCTGTAGTATTGAGTTTGATTGTAATCAGGCGTTATCCTACCTAATCAAACTCACCATTCCTACAAGTAACACTTAGTCACTAATGCGCATAGATCTATCACTATGCAATTATGTAGCCATGTCAACCTCCTCAGAAGACACTTCAACCTTCACCTCAACATCTACCTCAACATCCATGTCATTGGAAGAATTGTATTCTGGGATAAGGTTGCTTGGATCACCCAGGTTCACAATTTCACCAGATGCATCTGGAACCTCTGGATGAACAACCTGGTTGTACTCAAACAGGAGGCCCTCAATGACAGAGGCATCCTTGAATTTCAGGGGTATGGGCATCATCCCTGCCATTGAGAGATCAATGAGAGGAGGGAGTGCAGATTCAGATGGTGACATGGACATGGGGATGGATTGATCAAAAAACAAGGATGTTGCATTGGTAGGAGGTTTGGGAATTGGGAATGAGGGGTGTTAGTTGACAATTTTGCACCTAAGGCCTTCATGGAGGCATTGCAGGGTATCAATCTTACTATCCTGCTCTGCCACATGAGCCTTGAGAATAGCAATGTGAGCTGTACCATCCTGGATTGCAATTGCCATGGCATGGAGATCTAGCATAGGTAGGTCAAGTGCTGCAGCAGGGACTGCCAAACTCAAAGACAGAAGTGCTACAAGGGAAAATTAAGGTCAGACAGTGATGAAAAAAAACTCAGGTGACTTATGAGCTGGTGCAGGTGCTGGTGCCTTGACAGCAGTGATGGTCTTGCTGTGACCACATATCTGGGTCTTGGGAGTTGTCACAGTAGTGATACCCAGAGTTCCAGACTTGCCACAAGACTGACTGCAAGTTTGGGCCTTGGATTAGGAGATGGGAGGAGCTTTGGAAGGAGCCTTGGAGGGTGTCCTGGACCTTGTGTTCCAGGTGGTAGAGGAAGCATGAACACATTTTGGCAGGGTACCCAGAGTTGTGGGGATGCACTTGATCTTCTTTGTTGTGCAGCAGATGGATAACATATACAGATTCCTGGTCCTCTTGTCCAACTGAGTTGTGCAGGGCCAGTTTAGCTTGGTGCAAACCTAGCATGGGTTGTTCTGTGGGTTATGTTAGTGTATGGATACACTTCAGATAAATCAAAATACTCACCAGTCCAGGAATGAGAATACCACCTGCATCGATGACTGGGAGTGCCTATACTGGGGTTCCAGGAGTTGGCTGGGAGGGCTCAATGACTGCTGGGTGACTGCTGGCAATCACCTGCTACATTGTAAGTATACAGCTGAGTCCTGGATGCATAAATGTGACTTACTGTAGCAGGGCCAAAGGGTTTTTTGGTTAGAACATGGGATGATTGAGGTGAATTGGAGAGCTGGGGAAGAACAACATCTGGCACTCCAGCCAAAAATGGCTACAAGAAAATGTGAGACAAGTAAAAGACAAACCAGATGACATACCTGAATAGTTGTGTCTTCATCATCTTCCAACTCCACAAGGGACTTGGACTTCACAACATGAGATGACTTTGCATGCTTGCAAGTCTTCATCACAGACTTTGGCAGTTGGGAGGAGAGTGCTGAAATCATGGGAGACTTCCTCTTCTGACTTCCTTCTGCCTCAGGCTCTAGGTCAGCATTAACAGCCTTACCTTTCCCCTTGTCCCAGTACTTGGTAGTAGTGTTAGTGGAAGGACCAGCGACATTGCCAGTGAGGATGGGTGGGGAGGGAAGGTTGACTTGAATTGGACCTGTGGAGGGAGAAGCAGCAACTGGGAGATCAAAGGTATGGTCATCTAAGACCTCCCAGGCAAGGAGCTTGGGATGCCAGATATGCTTCAACAGATAGGGATTGTCATACCCAATGCTGTGCCAGTTAGGCCAGACCTGGGAAGTCATGCCCCAGATGTGTAATAACTCCTTGAAGCATGAAAGCATGATGCCAGCAGGGGTCCAGACCCATAGTCCTTGACTACATGAGCCTGCCTGGATGTTAGAGAGAAAAAAAAAAAAAAAAAATGCTATATACCACAAGTAAACTAACCTGTGATGTCAGAGCAAAGTGGCTGGGACCTGGGGGAATCTGCTAGTGCCACTAATGATGGCCATAATCTGGGCAGTGGATGCCTTGAGACTGGTCAAAGAGGTGTCAACTGGAGTGGATATGATGATTGAGCTGAGAGATTTAAAGATCTTGAAATTGGATTGAAATCTGTTATCACAAGGATAAAGTTTCAAAAGAAACAAGACATTTGATGGATAATCTATAAAATTGTTGATTGTTTGTCTTTGTTTGGTCATGGTTTAACTTTTGGCAATTGCCAGTTTTGTGTTGAACTTTGAAGTTTTTTCAATTATCAGTCAACAAGTCAATAAGTTCCCCACACAACATGAGCCCACAGCCAGCTGTTTGATTTAATGACCCTCCAGCAACCAACTACAATTCAATGGATGTGGATGAGTCCTTTGTGTCCCAGATATCACTAGGTATGTTGTATTATTATCATGCCTTATCTGTTTATTGGATATCACTTAGATGATCTATACCTTGGGCCAGATGATAACATAGAATAAGATTCTGTGTCATTTGGATCACTGGATGTCTGGGCTGCAATACCCAGTAAGTTTATACATTCATTAGAATTGAGGATTACCATGCATGCTCACTAAACCTTTGCAGATTAATCTCCTCTGGCTTAAGCTGATCATCCAGGTATTCCCATCAATCCAGACTTGTACCTTGGGCCTGAGGATGATATCATTGATGTTGATGAGTTGCCAGATTCTGCTAATCCTGAGATTGATGCTCCGGCTGCATCAGAAGTGTCTATGTTATGTGAGTTCATTCATTCCAGAGGATTATAGATACTTAATGTATCTCCCAAGCAGATGAAACATCTACTGAACTTCATTCACAACAGCCAGAGCTTGCTAATGAAGATTTATGTTTGATGGTCCAGGAGTTCCAACTATTTGGGTCATATGAACACACCAGGTGTGAGTATCTGACACAGTAGATCATTTATCTTTGTACTAATTTTTCTGCAAGTGCAATCTGTTCAAGATTGACTTGGTGATTACAAACACTGTACTAGGGATCTTCCTGATCCTTCCATTCCACTACTACTTGAGGCTGAGTGACACTTCTGGATGACTTGGGCAGAAACTTCTGACAAACTCAGAAGAGCTGATGCAGACCTCCAGAGGTTGCAAAGAGCTCAATGGATGAGCATCAAAATGCTCAAGGTAGTAGATTCCCTGATCAATTGGTTTAAAGATCAAATTTAAATGTAAATTACTGAATTTCTGATAGTAGTCAAATCACATGTAAACTTCCAAATTTTCATTAACATACCCATATCATGTAAACAACCAAATTTGCAATACATTCCTCTTCCATTTCCAATTGAGTTCCTAAGGCTCAAGAATTCCTGAGTGTCAAACACAGAAGTTTAATTCTTGCTTTGGCTTACTAAGTCCCAAGTGTTGAACACTAAAGTTTAATTCTCAGTTTGGCTCACCAAGTCCCAAGTGTCAAACACTGAAGCTCAATTCTCCCTTTACTGAGGATCATCAAGTCCCAAGTATCAATCATCAAATCAATACTCAGGACTCAGTGATCCTCAGTAAAGCAAGAATTGAAATTCAGTGTTCAACACTCAGGACTTGGTGAGCCAAAGCGAGAATTAAACTTTGGTATTTGACACTCAGGACTCAGTGAGCCATTGAGATTGAATAACATTAACATGTACATAAAGGCAGGCAGTGTAGTATAAGTCCATTACTTCTTTCCCCTTGCTCTAGTCACTTGAGGGGTACTGTCTGATGGCTGTTGCATTGACTTACTCCAGGTTGTCCTCACTGATGACTCAATTGCTACTTTTTTTCCCCACATGTTCTTCAGTGCCAGAGACATGTGCCCTCCTTCCATTGCAACATCCTCCTCAACATTGCCAGTAACTCTGTCAGTCAACCCAGCCAAGAGATTACCCATTCATGATGTCAGCAGTGCACCAGTTTTTGCTGGCTTGACCAGGCAAGGCTTTGGAATTGCATATGAGACTACTGTCCCTTCATGTGCTGTAGAAGGACCTGGGTCTCTTTTGTGGGGATCTACCATCGGCCACATCATTATCAGCATCATCCTCCATGTGATGAAAGTCACTCTTGGGATTACTCCTAGGATGACTCTCAGTGTTGGTTGATGAATTCCAAGGCTTTTAGATCATCTTCTTTCTGACTTTACAAGTCTGATGAGAAGGCAAATTCCCAGATACAACTGATACTACCATGTCTCTATCTTTGTTCTTCTATGCTTTGAACAGGAATGTTAGACCTTTGCCTTTCTTCTGCTGAGCATGCCAGAAATTGAGTAAGGCTGTAGTGTCCCAATTTTACAACTTCAAAGGCTCCTTCAAGTCCACATCCACTGGAACCTACTTTCTTGCCACAAAGTCATCCTGACTTTGTATGATGGTGCTCTATGGCATGACTGCCCTGTTAATCCTGGAACAGATCCCTGTGTCCATGCATTCAACAAATTCTCGGGTGTTGTGTTGATAGACTCACAATAGTGTGATGTAAGAAATGCCCTCACTACAGCCTTCTTCTCCTCAAGTTTTGTTTCAGTGATGTCTGGAAGCAACAGCATCCCATCCCTGTTGGTTTCCAGTTTGAAAGCAGGCTTTCTGATTCTTCTTTGACCTCCCTTCATCTATTGTCCTCCATCCTGTACCCTAGCACCTATCATCATGATGATCAACAAATTCCTTCTAGTAGCCAGAGTTCAAACATTCACTGAACTGTTCCTGTGTGTACTCCTGCCAAACTGACTCGATGTCCTTCTAGTCCTTTGTCTTCATGAAGCTGTCCCCATCTCCTAATGCCTCATTATCATTGTGCCTGCATGAAATATATTGAGATTGAAGATCTGCGATGATTGACAAAATTCACTTACATCCTGAACAGCACCTCTCCCTGTTCATTCTTCCAAGCCAACATCACAAACACTCTCATCCTGCATTGCCTCCACATCTCCTTCAAAAAGTGCTTCATATATGCAAGTCCCTTCTTACAAGTGACTTGTGCTTGTATCTTGGGAGGAGGAAAGTTATTGGACCATCCTTCAGCTGTTTCCTTTGCCTTCTCCAACTTGTTGTTGGACAATTCAGCCATGACTCTCTTCACAACCACCTGATAATGTTTGAACATACCAGGACCTCCTGGCTTTGCCCTGGACTTGTCCTTGATCCTCTTTAGCACCTCTTCCTGGTTCTGCTGGTAGATCACCATCCTAGGTGTCTATTTCCTCCCATACTTTATCATGTCCTTCCTTTTCTTTTTTTTCTTGTTGTTGAACAACCAAGTCTTGTACATCTGAGCATTGATGGAAGAATAAGATATTAAAATTTTAGTTTTTCAACACAGCAAGGATGAATCACCTGCTTCCTCTTCTTCCATTGTGCTTGGTTAACCTTAGGAGCAAATAACCTGGTAGCCCTAGCTATAGCAGTGAAAACTGCCTGCTTCTCTTTCCTTTTTGCTGAAGTCCACTTAGGAAGGTAGTTCTTCAACTCTGAAATTTTGTTTTCTATGAGCTTCTGTGTCTGTGGTTGATGTGCCCTATGTCTTCCAGAAGTCAACTGGGTGGAATGACCCAATCTTGCCATGGTGAATGAGATTGCAGAATGAGCTGAGGATAAGCAAGGTGGAAGTAATAATGGTTCCAAGTTGAACTTTAAGCAAAGCCTAACAGTTGATTAATTGACCCATATTGGATGCAATGCCATTAATGGAAATGAATTTGTAATGATGCATCAAGACTGCATAACATCATATTGGAACAACAATTCATTTGACCTTCCTGAGCTAATGCTTTGCTTGCAACATCAGAAAATAAGATGAGGATAGGTAGATACACCCCACTGCAAAAATTCCACAGGGTAGAAGCAAGGGGCAGCAAAGGTAGGAAAACTTGGGTTAAGGTCCCACTTGTAAGCACAAAATGACATGCCTACAGGTCCATGCCTCACTCTCCCCCAGAATCACTAACACTTCAGCCTGTTGAGGTACCACCTCCTTAGGAAGACTTTCCTAACAATACTTATGAGCATGACCAAGGCTCATTTGAGCCTTTGCAACTCCCAAAAACCATGGCAAGTTCATGTAAAATGTTGGATTGTCATTCAAATGATAGCTAAGCATAAAAAATGCAAAGTCAGAATGACTACCTCAGGTAATGGCTGCCAAGGCAGGAATCATACATATCTACATCACCTCCAGACAAATGAACATGGACTATGCCCTTTGTGAGGCTGCCTAGCACAACATGGAAGGCATCACCAGGGCTGTCACCTTCTATGATATCAACTGTCAATACAACAAGCACTTTTGGGTTTGGGTGGATTAAAGCTGATTTCTTGAAATGGTTCTGGAACTGACCATCATTCCCAGAATTAGGTTGTGGCATGTCTATGGACATCAGGACAGCTGCTATGTCCAATATGTATTAAATTTTATTAAAGGCATTGGTTGGATCAATGGAGAGATCATGGAGACCCTATTGTCACATCTCAACCTGATTTCCCCTGCTGCTTGGGGAATGTCATTCCTGCATTGAAAGGAATGTCTTGATTATCAGATAAACAATTCCAATTTCTGCAAGATGATCCACATGAAAAGGACCCTTTGTCATAAATACAAGCAGGCAAAGAATGGCATCACCAAAAGTGAAAAGGCTTTCAACAGACTTGATGAAGCAGCACCTGCAGATTCAAAGACAGAATGGTTAGCCAGTGAGAGGATCACTCAGTCCAACAGAATAAATGATCCTGCAGCAATGGATATATATGAGATTAATATCAAGAAGGGTAAGTTGACTTTGGCTCCATCAAAGTCAGAATTAATTTTTGTACTCAGCACTGAGCAAAAAGGAGATTGAGCTTAGACTGCTAGAGGAGGGTAATGTCTGTAATGCAGCACCTGCTTGCAGATCTGTGGTAACATGAATATCAATGGGGTTGGCATTTGAAGAGGCTCAAATTCCATTGCTCATTGAGGTCTGAAGAATTGGGAGAACTACTGAGACACAGAGGTTAGACATCATCTGTCATATGCCATTCTGGACTCTCAACTCTAAATCTGCTTCTCTGGATATCCAGATCTTCAATAATCTGATCTATCTTTATCTTCCTTCCAGAATCCAAATCCTATATCAGTGCCCAACCCCATTTAGACTTCCCCTGTCTCTGGACTCCAGTGAACTATGTTTCCCTTCTGATTATTGATCCGTTACATACATTTCATTTCCAGTGTTCATTATTTGTGATCTGTCCTACTTACTAATAGACTTTGCATATGCTTTGTACATAGCCTTTGTATTTGCTGACTGATTCCTATATGATACCTACAGTATATAAACCTCCTGTAACTCTTGGAAATACTTCAGTTCAAATATCATCTTAGTTCCTGCTCATTCCTGTTCCTCCAGCCTCAAGCCAAGTCTCTTGTCATATTCCAAGTCTTAGGATTGTATCCTAGACTACATTCCCAGCTCTACCTTAGGGTAGTCTATCCTCTGTTAGTTTCTAGTCCAGACTTTGTCCAGATTAGTCTTATCCACCTGTCCAAGTAACATCTGGACATCCATTGGATTTATCTCATGTTTCAGATCTGGATGTCTGTTGTCTGCCCTAGTCAAATCCCAGAAACTTTGGATGACTGTTCTAACCCCTGGAAATTAAGAGCACATACTCAGGAAAGGGGCACAGCATAAGAGCTGAGGCCAAGCCCTTGTGATCTGACCCCCTTGAGCACATGACCTTAATAACTTGGTGAAGAGTTTTGAGTTTCAATGTTTGAGTGTTGGGTGTTGTTAAGGTCATACTCAAGGGATAACTGAATCCGAAGGGCTTTGGCCTCAGCTCATGCACTGTGCCCCTTACCCAAGTATTGCCCCTTATTTCAGGAAGGCAAGACTAATGTGTCCAGAAGGTCGGATGAGTAGTGTAGCGGATCCAGATGACTTCCAGATGAGGGATAAGTATCGTAGGGCTAATCCAGACTAGAAACTAACAGTAATGGACTGTCGGAGACAGAGGCAGATACAGATAGACTATAGGAATCAATTCTAAGTCTTGGAGGGTGACGAGAGTAGAGATACTCAAGTCCAGAGGACAGGAATGAGTAGAACTAAGATGATATTCGAACTGAGGTACTACAGAGAGTTACAGGAGGTTATATACTATAGGTATCTAATGGAATGATCAATCAGCAGAGTCCAAGGCTATGTACAAAGCATATGGATGGTCTATTGGTAAGTAGAAACAGATCACAAATAATGAAATGGAAATGAAGCATAGGTAACAGATCAGGGGGCAGGACAGACATACAGATAACCAAAATACTGGAGTTAGGGGATTACTGAAAAGAGACGAGTGCTGGTTGTGGATTCGGATGAATTGTGGACCAGACCGGATGAGTGGACAGATTGGATGACAAGATGTTGGAGGGAGATAAGATGTGGATAGGATCTGAGATGAGATAAGGATTGGATCTGAGATCTGGATATGTGGATATGATAGGTGTTGGTACTCAGGTTTTGGTACTCAGTGATTTGAGACTTGAAACTCAAAACTCTAAAAATGTATGAGTTTCAAGTTTTGATGATTGATGTTCTAGTTTCAGATGTCAGGTTTTGGTACTTGGTGATTTGAGACTCAAAACTCATAAAAATGTACAAGTTTTGAGTTTTGAGTTTCAAAGTCTGTTTTGATGTTCAAGTTTCAGGTTTCAGGTGTTGGGTTTTGGTACTCAGTAAATGGCAGACATGGTGTATTCAGGCTTTCAGGTTTCAGGTTTCTGTGGTCAATGGTAGGTACAGTGGCTCAAAAAAGTGTCTCGATGTTTGTGACTTTTTGTGTAATTGCTGTATTATGAGCTAGGGTGTGAGAATATGACTAAGCCATAGGGAGGTGTGGGAAAGCTTTATGTTTGATCCCTCTAGCATAAGAAAATTATGTCATCAAGTGAAGATATGTTTAATTTAATTTGGTGACTCATTGAGACACTTTTTTGACTTTCAGTTTGACCAATACAATCTCTATAATTCTGGTACTTGGTGTTTCCTCCTGTTGCTCTAATTACTTCTGCCACTCTTCTATGCATACTATCTATCAATTTGAGGCATTCCTCATCAACAATCTTGCCCCACTCTGCTGCAACTCTCTCCACAGCTGAAATAACCCCAATTGAGGATCTTGATAGACTGCAAGTGATATCTTGAGTAATTACCAGGGCTATTTAATAGGGTTGAGGTCTGAGGACTAGACTTGCCATGATAGAACACTGATACCATAGTTTTCAAACCATTTGATGGTCAACTTGAAGTATGCTTAGGGTCATTATCTTGTTAGAAGGTAATGTTTTCTTCATTAATTCTTGATTCTTGCATGCTTCTGAGCAGATCCTTTTCCAAAACTGAAATGTGCTGCTTTGCATTCATCCTCCCCCCCACCTCACAGAGAATTCCTACTCCATTCCACTTCATACAACACTATACCATCAAGTTTCCTACTCCATACTTTAGTGTTTTCTTGACCTTTCTTTCTTCTAGTAATTTTTCTGCATTTCATTATATATATTCCTAGCCATCTGGCCCCATCCTATTGATTTTTGTCTCATCTGACCAGGTAGCCCTATTCCAGTCCTCAACAGTCCAATATTGAGGCTTTAAAGCAAAGGCTAATCTCCTTCCTATATAGGCTAAAGACAGGAAAGGTTTTCTGCCTTAAGAGTACCCCTGACTATTTGAGTGGAGAGAGCAGTGTAGATGATGTAATTAATGAATTTGGTGGCTTGAGTAGCATTGGCAGCCTGCCTAGTTGGAATATTATGAACAAGAGATTTTTTGTTATATGATATAAGCTTGAAAGGACAATTTGATTTGATATTTTTCTTATCTGGAATGACTTTTTTATGATCCTAATGATAGCAACTCTGCTCAGACCAGTTTTAGTAGCAATCTGCCTGGTATACAGATTAGAAAAGCTGATGATAATAACAATAGGGGCTATTTCAACTGTGGAGAGAGTTGCAGCAGAGTGGGGCAAGATTGTTGATGAGGAATGCCTCAAATTGATAGATAGTATGCATAGAAGAGTGGCAGAAGTAATTAGAGCAACAGGAGGAAACACCAAGTACCAGAATTATAGAGATTGTATTGGTCAAACTGAAAGTCAAAAAGTGTCTCAATGAGTCACCAAATTAAATTAAACATATCTTCACTTGATGACATAATTTTCTTATGCTAGAGGAATCAAACATAAAGCTTAGAAGCAAAGCTTTCCCACACCTCCCTATGGCTTAGTCATATTCTCACACCCTAGCTCATAATACAGCAATTATACAAAAAGTCACAAACATTGAGACACTTTTTTGAGCCACTGTAGTGGTTGGGCTATCCTGTGTCATAATATATAGAGTGCTGGGCTGGCCCAACAACTATTTGAATGTGATGTGCTATCCCAGGGAGTATATAGGGCTATCCCACATTGCAATATATACAGTGCTGGGCTGCCCTACTAAATTAATTAGGTAATGTATATAGGGGAGCTGGGCTATCTCACAACACAATATAGTGCTAGGCTGCCCCACTAAATTGTTGTGGCATCCCAGGTGATGTGTATAGGAGATTTGGGATATTCCATATCACAAGATATATAGTGTTGGGTTGCCCCAATAAATATTTGAATGTGATGCACTATCCCAGAGGATATATGAGGCTAACCCAGTGTTAAGAACCATGTTGCTCAAAGGAGAGAGACTGACTCAGAGGGGCTTGGCCTCAGCTTGTATGCTGTGCCCCTTACCCGAGTATGTGTCCTTCATTTCATATGAGGTCCGATGATGGTCTGATGAAGTCTGGAGGACTTCCAGAGGCTGGCTACTCTGCTGGAGAGCACTAGAGGACTTCCGGAGGAGCACGGGAAATGTCTGGAGGAGCGCAGGAGAGTTCCCACTGCAAGGTGATACTTCTACAGGAAACAGGATGGAAGGATAGGAGGTCCGAAGGTCCAGAGGTCCGGAGGACAGGAGGACAGGAGGACAGGAGGACAGGAGGGCAGGAGGATAGGAGGACAGAGGACAGAAGGACAGGATGTCTGGAGGTACGAAGGACAGGATGTCCGAAGGTACAGAGGGCAGGATGTCTGAAGGACAGGAGGATAGGATGTCCGAGGGTTAGGAGGATGGAACGTCCAAAGGTATGGAGGGTGGAATGTCCGAAGGACAGGACATCCGGAGGTCCAGAAGGAATAGGGGCTACATCGGATGAAGTCCAATGTAGAAACAAGCAGGGGTAGACTACCCTAAGGTAGAGTCAGAGGGACAGGGATTGGACCTAAGTCCAGAAAGAGGGTAAGTGCTGGAAAGGCAGAGCTCTGGCCTAGGGAATCAATCCCTAGGCCTGATGGGTAGGACAGACTTAGGTGGACCAAAGTCTGAGAGAGGATTGGGCAAGTCTAAGTTGATATTCAAACTGAGGAACTACAGGAGTATCTACAGGGGTTATATACTGAACAATATCTGAGGGGATCAGTAAGCAAAGGAGCAAGGCTATGTACGAGCATGTGGAAACACATTAGTAAGTAAGTCGGAACATAAGTAAATGAACTCAGAGATGAGGACTCATACAAGGATCAATAAGCAAGATGGAAAAAGAGGTAACTGAAAGCCGGAAGGCAGAGAATGCCTAAATGGGGATAGGCGCAGGATATCGGACAGAGGGTGGGAATAGGTCCGGAGCTAATATCCGGAGGTCCGGAGATCTGGGGATCCGGAAGACAAGGTGGATATAGTTCTGGAATCTGA